ACTCGTCCCCACGCAGCTCCTCCGGGAGGTGCCGGTTCAGTGCGCGTCTGCCCCGGGGACACGGGCGGGAGCCTGTCCCCACTCCGCCACAGCTGGGAGGCCGGCGACGCCCCATCCGCTGCCCCGCCCACCCCGCCCAGGCCCGCTCCCCGCACCCCAGGCGGGAGAGCCGGGGTAGAGGTGAGACGAGGCGGGTAGCGGCGCGGGGAGCCCGCACAGGCCCAGGCACCGTCCCCACCATTTCGGGGTCTCAGGGACCAGACGTGCGGGGACTCGTTCGCCCCTTTGCAGACGCAGCGGCTCGGAGCTCCGATGTTCCGCAGAGGGGGCACCGAGGGGAGCTTGAGCCCCCTCCAAACCCCCATCAGCTGTCCCCACCGCACGACCGCCGGGCCGGGCCGGGACGCCCCGCAAAGCGCCGCTGGACACCAGCCAACGCCCACCCCCACCCGATCGCGACCCTCCGGAGACGTCCCGGCCACAGACTGCCCTCCGAGGCCGCGGGGCCCCACTCCCGCCCCGGCCGCGGCATCGCTGTGACCCTTCGTCAGGGTCTTCCCCGCTCTGAACCTGCTCTCCGCGTCCAGACGAAGGACACCCGGGCACAGACGGGGCGCACACACGCGGGCTGAAACTTTATTTGCCCTCCCGCGCCCGGGACCCCGGACCCCGGACCCCCGACCCCCGACCCCGCCGCCCGCCCGGAGGCTCAGAAGATCTTCACCGACTGCAGCTGCAGGTCCCCGCCCACCTCCAGGAGGCGCACGCGCGCCGGCGGGATCCGGTAGCGGAAGTGGTGGTACTCCGAGTCGCCGACCACCGCCTGCGGGGCCGAGGGGGGCGGGGCGTCAGGGGCCGCGGGGCCCCGGGTCCCCGGGCGCGAGATGGGCCCCGACGGCCGTACCTCTTGTCGTGGTCCTCACCTGGGCCACCTGTCTGGCGCGGACGCGCGCTTAAGGCGGTGGCTGTTACGGCCCCGCCGGCGGAACGCGGGGAAGGGCCTGGGTGCTGGACGCTGTGCAGCGACCACTCCCCGCGGACACGCGCGTCCCGGCCCAGTCGCCCAGCCATCCTGGCCCCTGCTCCGGGACACCAGGGCCCCGCTTCCCGCTAGGGGCCACCCACCCTCTGGGCGCTGGGCTCTGGCCGCCCGGTCCCGGCCACGGCCACACCCCTGCCTTCGGGCACACGTGGGGTTGCGCCAGGGGAAGAAGAGGGACGGACCGGACGTGGGCCCCGCCTTGGCCGGGCCTTTGCTCCCCACCTCCACCAAGAGCCTTCCTGGCTTGCCTGGACTGCAGGCGGGGCGGGGGTCTGGACGCCCGCGCCTGTGGGTGGCAGGGACTCACCTTGAACCCTTCTTCGGTGGCGATGAGGAGCACGTCGAAGGGCTGCCCATGCTGGAAGGGAATGCCTGAGCCGCGCTCCTCCCGGCCCCAGGTGCCCTGCTCCAGGCTGTTGAAGACCACCGTGGACTCGTCCAGCCGCGGGTTGAAATGGAGGGCAGCCTCCCCGCCCGGCCCCTCGCCGCACAGCAGGTTCACATAGAACCTGGTAGTGGGGGCAGGGAGGAGAGGATAAAGGTCACAGGCCAAGAAGCACCCTACCAAGATCAGGGACCAATGGTCAGGACTCCCCACCGCCAGGCCGTTCCAATTCATAGGCACCGGAGGAACGTCCCACGCCACAGGGGGAAGGGTTGTGGGCTGGTGGCCAGGGACCCACCCTCCAGGGCGTCCAAAAGTTCCAGGGACCCTGGACCCGCGTGCACCTACGAGGGTCCCTATGCTGTGGCCCCGGGTGCCCCTCATATCCAAAGCCTCTAACGTTTGCCGTGGAGTCACGATGCCGATGGCCGGGGTGCTCTCTGTTCCTAGGGCATCCCCCTTGCCAGAGGGCTGGGCACAGCACCACGGGCCCGCACGTTTGCAGGCACCGCAGATTCCCAGGAAGCCTGCCCCTCCCAGACCCGGAAGTCCTACGACCGACCGCTTCGGCCTCCCAGGTGCCCAGGGCACCTCCAGGTCGCGGGACTTCTTTCCAGGGTTCCTGGCATTCAGACTGGGAGCCATAGGACTCTAGATGGGAGCCCTGGGATGGCTCTGGAAGCCCCAGATCCCTAGGGAGACGTAGGGACCCCAGCTACACAGTCACGGGACAAGTAAGTGAAGACTTCAGATTCCAGAAGGTCGGCGATGGCCCGGGGAGTCTAAGACCCTGTGGGCCAAGGTGGCTCTGGTGCCCTCGTGTCTGGGCTGCAAGAAGTCCGAGCCAGCTGAGCCTGGACACCTCCCAGCCTTACCTCTGGGGCCTGGGGTCTCACCTGGCGGCCTTTTCCGGGACGACGCCGCGAATCCTCATCACGGTGCCCACCCGGATGCCCTCGGGCAGCGACGTCTTGTGGGGCACGTTCTGCAGGTTCAGCGGCGGGGAGTCCGAGGGAACCGGGGGCGCGGACGAGAGACACACGTGGGTCGGCCCCGGGCAGAAAGCATCCGGGACCCAGATCGGCAGAATCCGTGAGAAGAAAAGGCCCAGAGACCAAGGAGAGAGAGCCAGAGCCATACCAAGAGTGGGAGAGCCAACCACGAGGGATCAACGGAGAAAGGGAGAATCCAGAGAGGCAGATGGGAGCATGGGGATGGGTTGGGTCCACCCGGGAGCCACAGCCCAGACCCTTGGTAGCACACCCCGGCACCCACTTTGTCCTTCCCGGCGGGACACCTCAGCCAGGCCCAGCCCCTCCCCGAGTCCTGTGCCGCCTTGGGCCCAAGCCCCCCGGGCCCCGACGCCCCCCGAAGGCACTCACAGAGCTTCCCGCCATGGCTGGGACGCTGGGGCGACAGGCGTGGCGGTGGGTATGGCTGCTGGGACCTTAAGTAGAAGCAGAAGCAGGGCGTGGCGGCCCCCGCTGACTCACCCCCAGCCATTTCCACACCCGCAGCCCACACCTGGCACAGACCCTGGCCCTGGGGCCACCTGGCGGCCCAGCGCCTTCTTGCTGGGCCCGGGACTTCCCTCCACTCACTGAGGGTTCCCAGTCCACCGCCGGCCCCCTCCGTTGAGCTAAGAATCCTGAAGACAGTTAAGGGCGAACCGCCAAGGACAGAGGGCACCCAGGGGGCCGCCATCCATCCCGGCCATGTCCCTGCCGCTTGGCCCAGGGGAAAGGGTCTTTGCCCATTTTCTCTTGGACATCTGGGGCCCCGAGAGGCCCACCCGGGGCTGGAAGCGGGGGCTCCTCTCTCCCAGGCTGGGACCTGCGCCTTGGGCTGAGGACGCGTCCACTGAAATTCCAGCTCACGCTCCCTCGCGTGACGGTGACCCCGGCGAGGACAACACTGTGCCCGCGGGGCTCCGGGGGGCAGGACGTGTGCCTGATGAGCCGCGTCTCCCGGGGCCTAGAGCAGCGGCTGGTACACGGTCTGGGCTCCTCAAGTGCGCCTGAAAGACGAATAAGGAATGACACCAGCGCCTGGTCTGAGGCCCTGGGCGCCTGGCGCACACGGGACCTCCCCGAGCGCTCACCGCTAGCCGAGCGGGGAAGGGGATCACTCGCCCCCACTTCACAGACCAGGAAACCGAGGCTCAGACACGGGAGGCCGCTTGCCCGGAGGCGCACGGCCGGGCAATCCCTGGGTGAGTGTCTCTCTGCCCTTCTTCAACTCTGGCGGGTTCCGCCTTGTTTCTTCTGTCCCTGGGAATGCCCTGGTGTCTCTCCCTGGCCCTCTGGCTCGGACTCTCTCTCCCTCCCGGGTGGCCCTGTCTGCTTCTCTTCCTCAACGCCATGTCTCCTTCCTCCCCCCAGAATGGCTGCCGCTCTCCCAGCCAGGTTCGGGTGAGGGGAGGCAGAGGGGGGCCTTCCTGGGACCCAGCCGCGCCCTGACCCAGGAGCAGCGACGTGGGATCCTCCACTCAGGCCCACAGCCCAAGATTCCATAGTCCAAGATTCCAGAAGAAGAATCCAGGATGGGAAGGGTGGGGTCAGAGGGAGAATGCTGAAAGAAGGTTCTGGAAGGTAGGGAAGAGGCAGGGTGGGGCAGCCACCCTGAGCAGAACCCCCTCCCAGCAGCCCAGCAGGCCTCCTGTCCACCCCCACCACCCCCTCCCAGCCTCCACTCCTGCCCCCCACCCCCCACCCTCCAGGGGGAAGAGGCCTGGGGCAGAGACCAGAATGGAAACTCTGGGTGGAGACAACCAGACTCAGAACCTGATCTGCCACCTGACTGTCCCCCAGGCCTCCCAGACTCTCTCCATCCCCACACCACGTGAGGCACCCCGGGGGTGGCAGGGGGTGGCAGTTTGGGGGCCAGGACCTCACACAGGGAGGCCGGACAGCTGCGAGGCGGGTGGGGGTGGCTGCAAGCACCCCAGTGTTCAGAGGAGAAGAGGGAGGCAGAGAGTGGGGCACCCTCTCAGCCAAGGTCCCACAGTAGGGAAGCAGCCCGGGGCTGGGCCGGCGGGGGGGGCGGGGGGGGGGGCCCAGGTGGGGGCAGGGCCGGTCACCAGGACTTCCGGTAGAGAGGACAGGGGGCCCGAGGCCGAGGCCGGGGCACCCACACCCGGGAGCCGGCGTCCCCGAATCGAATCGTGGGCTCCACCTGTCTCGGATCTCAGGTTCGGGGTGTCCCCCTCGGCCGCCTCGCTCTCCACGTGCTCTTTCTTGGGGCCCAATGACTAGTCCTTCCCCAGATGTCTTCTTTGGGGCTGGATGTGTCTTCACACGCTGCCAACCTGCAAGTCCAAACTCGACTGTGACTTTGCTGTGGGCCCAAGTGTCAGCAGTCGATCTGTTATCAGTTGATGGCGGGCTCGTTTCTCAGAAGCCAGGCGCGCGCGCACGTGCCGGAGCCCCATTCTCTGGTGTGGATCATGTCTGCATCGGTTCTGGAATAATACTTTCAGGAGCACTGTTTCCATTCCCAGTGAGTCGTGACCGTGCCTGGGTCTCAGTCCTCGTGCTTTTTCCTGAGTGATGCCTCGCCTTCCGAAGCCGCGCAGGTTGTAACAGAATGAGGGTGTGGGATTCGAGAAACGTCCGGACCTGAGCAACCCCCACCCCCACCGAGTTTCCCCGAGCCCCAGAGACAGCCAGCCCCCCTCCGCCCGCCCGGGACAGCGCTGCCAGTCTGGGCGTCCCGTGGCCACCGTGTCATGTGTCCCGGGAGTGGAGAGGGGTGGCCAACAGGCTGAGTCGGCGGCAGACCTTCGCCCTCCTGCAGGGAACAACTCTGGTGACTGAAAAGTAACCCCGTGTACCCACCGTGCTTGTGGGCATTGAAACCCCCAGGCTCTCTGCCAGGGTCAGCGTGTTGGGGACTTTGGGCCGGTTTTGTACACGCTGAACATCAGTCCGGGGGCCGCTTTGGTTTTATGTTGTTTTGTGGGAAGATTTTGGTTTTGAAGTGATCTCCGCACCCGGCGTGGGGCTGGCACTCCCCACCCAGAGGTCCGGGGTCCCAAGCTTCACGGAGCCAGCCAGGCGCCCCGCGGGGCTGCTTTGGTTTTGTGAGTGAGCCTTCCAAGGAGGAGAAAGACACTGTTCAAATCTGACTCTTTCTTAAGCGGTGAATCCACTGGAAACTTACACTTCTATTTCTGGATAGAATACATTTCCCCAACCCCATCACCGCGGAGGGAAGCATTTTCTGTCATGCTTGCTTCCATTGATAAACTGAGGTCGTTAAACTCTCTTACGTATTTTCAGCCACATGTGGGATTTACCGTGTTTTTTGTTTTGAAGTTTATTTATTTTGAGAGATGGAGAAAGAGAGAGGGAGGCATGGAGAGAAAGAGGAACACAGAGGATCCCAAGCACTGTCCGTGAGGAGCTGGGTGTGGGGCTGGAACCCATGAACCTTGAGATCGTGACCTGAGCTGAAATCCAGAGTTGGGTGCTTAACCGACTGAGCCGGCCAGGTGCCCCCCACCATGTATTAAATTTGAAGTGTTTCCCATCGTCCACTCAGTTCTTCCAAGTAATAAGGGATCGTGGTCCGTTTCCACGCCTGAGGTGGGAGTCCAGTGACCTGTTCTTTCCACCTTTCCTTCTTTCCTCCCCTCCCTCCCTTCACCTCCCCTCCCCCCCCCTCCCCTCCCTTCCCTTTGCTCTCCTTCCTTGGCTGAAGGATTGGGCCATCAGGTGGGGAGACAGGTGCTGCCTCTTGGTGGGGGGAGGGACGGGGCAGGTTAGCAGCTGGCCGAGGGGCGGGGACGCTGTTCAGCTGTCGTGTCAGAGGGAGTGAGTGAGGAGGGCGCTCAGAAGGGGGTGGTCCTCAGGACCTAGGGTGGAGGTGAGGGGAGAGGGGCGGCTGGACCTTGGGAACCCAGCCCCAGCAGGGGAGTCGGAGGTGTCTGTGCTGGGGAGGAAAGGGTCCCTGCGGGAGTGACTGCAGGGTGGGTTTCCACCACGGAAGGCGAGTCTCTTCTGTGACATTCAGAGGGAAGAGTTCTAGTGTGGAAAGGGGAAAATGACCATGAACCTGACTGGTGGTATTTCATGAGGGGTTTTGGAGGGTGGGGGGGTGGGGGGTTTGCGTCTCCTTAAAATTTTTTTTATTACGTTAAAATATAAAAATATGGGTGACTCAGTCGGTTGAGCGTCAGACACTTGGTTTCTGCTCAGGTCATATCTAGGGTCATGGGATCGAGCCTCGGTGCTGAGCACGGAGCCCGCTTGAGATGTTCTCTGTCTCTCCCTCTGCCCTCTCCCCTGCTTGTGCGCTCTCTCTAAAGTAAATAAAATAAAATATATACATGTGGTGTCTAAATGGGTTGTCTCTCGATCAGATGGGGGTCCCCAAACCTGGGTGAGGATCACATGGAAGCCAGTGGCATGGAGGTGAAAGGATTCACCTGAAGCAGAACAAAGGCGACAGAAGTTTATTGAATAGGCCCCAAGGGAGCAGCGGTCAGGACAGCAGGGGAGAGGCTGTCTGCAAGGAGGCAGTGGGCAGGGGGGGGGGGGGGGGGGGGGTTTTAAAGCGAGAAGGTGAGGAGGTGTGGGGACGTGTGAATTTTCCTTTTAATTAAAAAAATTGTTTTATGTTTATATTTTGAGAGAGAGAGAGAGAGAGAGAGAGAGAGAGAACACGCGTGTGCTTGCACATTAGCACGGAGGGGCAGAGAAAGAGGGAGACACAGAATCCCAAGCAGGCTCCAGGCTCTGAGCTGCCAGCACAGAGCCCTATGCAGGGCTCGAACCCACAAACGAACGGTGAGATCGTGACCTGAGCCCAAACCAAGAGTCGGGCGCTGAACCCCCCTCCCGCCCATGCCGGGCGCCCCACCATGTTAACCATTTTTCCCGTGTCCAGTTCAGTGGCACAAAATACATTCACACTGTTGTGTAGCCGCCCCCACCATCCGTCTCCAGAACTCTCTTCATCTTGCAAACCTGTAACTGGACCCGCTAAACACTAACTGCCCGGCTCCCCGGCCCCCGCCCCCCACTCCACCCCCCCTCCTACTTTGTGTCTCTATGAATTTGACCAGGGGCCAGGTAGGAATGCAGCCTTTGCCCGTCTGTGACTGGTGAGTATTCTACACCCAAAGCGAAAGAAATAACGGATGTAGAAACGTGTTTGTTGAAGGGTGCGAAACGTGCCACCCCCAAATATGCCCTTTTAGCATAAGGATTATTTTGAACTAATAGCCCTTGCGAAACAGCGGAAGAAGGGCTTTCTACCCTCCCGTTTGCTGCCTGAAAACAGGAGATAAAAACTCTCACGTGACAGATACCTACCCTGTGCCAGTAGGAGAGTGACATTCTCATCCTAAGTTGAGACCCAGAGAATTCGATGCAAACAGGCCCTGTGAAAGTGATTCCAAGCGTCCCGCATAACGGCTGGGTTACTTCTCCACAGTTGCCTCTGTCCTTCAACTTAATATAAAAGCACGTGCGCTCAGCCATCCCCTCGAGGCTTCATTTCCTGCTGAGGGCTCTAGTGTGACGTAAAACTTAGGTAACCTGTCCGCCTGATACATCCGTTCAGGTCTCGGGCCCAGCGGGAACACTCCTTGGAGGGCAGAGGTCCCGTGTTTCCTCCCCTCCGATGGATAGATACGTGTCTGCGTTCATACATCCCCTACCTTGTCCCCCTGACAAGGCCTGGGAGCGGAGCCCGTGCCCAGATCTTGGTTCCTAAGGACTGCACCTTTCTCTGCGAAAGAAATGTGTAGAAAAGGCTGTCTCCAAGGCTCAAATGGGAAGGCATGAGATGTGCCAGGCATGAAGTTTTGGGGTGACGGGGGCTCGTGGGGTCCCGAGCCGACAGCCAAGAAAGAATTCTCGAAGAGGTCTTTGGTGCAAAAAGGTGATTTTATTAAAGCACGGGGACAGGACCTGTGGGCCGCTGCAGATGTGGGGGGGGGGACTGTTTTACGGGGTGGGGGGCGGGTAGATAAAGTCAAGAGAGTTTCCAAAGAGGCTTTCACATGCTTACAGTCTTACTGGAGGCCTACCTATTGTCAATCTAAGGCTGTTTTTCCCTCTAGCAAAGCATTAACATTAAGACAGTAGGAAGTTCAGGGTCCCCTGGGTGGCTCAGTTGGTTAAGCAGCCAGGCTCAAGTCGTGATCTCCGTTCGTGGGTTCAAGCCCTGCGATGGGCTCTATGCTGACAGCTTAGAGCCTGGAGCCTGCTTTGGATTCTGTGTCTTCCCCCCCCCTCAAAAATAAACATTAAAAAAACAAAAAAAGACTGTAAGGAGTTCCTGGACTTTAGGCAGAATGGGATTGCCTGTTTCTTATAAACTGGTGGAGACTCTTCCCAGTTTAGCCATTTGTTTGTCCTTTCCTGTTTTTGGGTAGTGGAGAATGTGCAAGGAATATCACACATATCCCCCCTCCGGGGTGGGGGGTGCTGTTAACCGGCACCTTGCCCTCAGCTTGCCCCACACCCCCTCATCGCCTGGAACAGCTTCCTGGGTCGGGAAAGGAGGAAGCGTTCGCGGCACTGGGGTTCCTTGGACAGCCCCATGAGTCCATGGGCCCATACTGATGTGGTCTTACTCTGTCGGGGCTGCTATAACAAAAATCCCACCCACCGGCAGCTTACAAACATCAGGAATTTATTTGTCGTGGTTCTGGAGGCTGGGAAGTCCACGATCACGGCGCCAGCACATCGGGTGTCCGGTGTGAACCTGATTCCTGGTTCATAGATGGATCCTTCTTGCTCTGTCCTCCCATGGCTGCAGGGACAAAGGAGCTCTCTGGGGTCCCTTTAGAAGAACACCAACCCCTACTCACCAGGGCTCGGCCTCCGTGACCTCATGTTCTCCCAAAGGCCCCATCTCCAAATACCATTCCCCTGGGGACGCGGTTTCACCAAGGGAATCGGGGGGCCATAAACATTCAGCCTATAGCAGATGTGCAGGAGGAAATGATAGAAATGATCAAAGTTTGCTGAAGAACGTGAGCTTTGCAACATTTCCAGGCGCTTCCCACAAAATGCTTACTGATGACAAAGGACAAATGGGTAACTTTACGGTGGGGAGGGCAAGCCGGGGAGGTTCCGCTAGTCACGTGATCCAAGACCACTCACCAGCGATGAGCGATGGCACACGCAAGGGGCCAGGCAGCTGGAGGAGGCAGGCGCTGTTGCTTCTGTGGCTCTTCAGCCCACAGTGCCTAACCTGTAGCTGGCGATGAGGGGACATCCGCCTCCAAGCTTCTCAAGTGTCAAGGTCTTGAAACACAAAGGAAGACTGAGGAGCCATTTCAAACTGAAGGCCAAGGAGAGGAGTGGAGGGAAAGAGAGGGAAAGGGAGAGGAGGGGAAGGGAGGGGAAGGGAAATGAGAGTGGCCAGAGGGGATGGAGGGAAGGGAAGGAGAGGGGAGGGGAGGGGAGGAGAAAAAAAGGTAGGGGAGGGAGGGGGGGAGAGGAGAAGGAAAGTGGGGGAGGAGAGGAGGGGAAGGTAGGGAGAGAAGGAAGGAGGGGGGCCACCCAGATCCCCACCCACAAGAAGCAGTGCGGCCCCACCTGAAAGACTCTAACAGCCAATCCTTCAGGTAGGCAAAGGGAGAGGAAGGGAGGCAGGGAAGGGGAAGAGAGAGGAAGGGAGGGGAGGAGAGGAGAGAGGAAACCAAGAAAGCCTGACGCCAAATCAAAGCCACGTTCTGATTT